CTGAGATTGCACCATTGCACTCCAGCCTGGGCAACAAGAGCGAACTCCATCTCAAAAAAAAAAAAAGAGTTCCTTTTCTGAGGACTCTCCCTCTTCCCTAGAGGTAGTAGCATTTTCCATTCCTGTATTTATTAGCATAATAGTTAACCACCTTTTACTAGTTTGTGTAATGCTTTGTTATACATTTTTCCTCCTCAGGCCTGGCATGGTGGTGCACACCTTGTAATTCTAGCACTTTGGGAGGCTGAGGCAGGAGAGTCACTTGAGGCTAGGAGTTTGAGACCAGCCTGGGCAATATAATGAGACCCCATCTCTAAAAAAAAAAATGAGACCCCATCTCTTAAAAAAAAAAGCCAAGTACACTGCTGCATGTCTGTAGTCCCAGGTACTCAGGAGGCTGAGGCAGGAGGCTCACTTGAGCCCAGGAGTTTGAGGCTGCAGTGAGCTATGACCATGCCATTGTACTCTAGCCTGGGCGACAGAGCAAGATCCTGTCTTTTTTTTTTTTTTAAAAAAAGAATCCCTGTTATAATCGCTGGTGTGGTTTTTGTCTCTTGATTGTACCCTGACTGATATGGAATTGGTACCAGGAGACAGACCCTCAAAGATAAGATTTGGGGATTGGTTTGGTTATGACTTGGATTTGAGCTCTGTGTGGAGCCCCTCACAATAGGAAATGTGGGCTCAGTAATCCATGCCATGTGGAGGTCTCACAGTTCACCAGACTCTCCCCTGTGGTTGATTGTGATGGTGACGAGCATGGTGACATGGGACCAGGTCTTCCTGGAGCACTTATAGAAAGAAACAACAATATCAGCTCCTTTATTTTTTTTTTGAGACAGAGTCTCGCTCTTTCACCCAGGTTGGAGTGCACTGGCACGATCTCAGCTCACTGCAACCTCTGCCTCCTGGGTTCAACCGATTCTTCTGCCTTAGTTTCCCAAGTAGCTGGGAGTACAGGTACCCACCACCACGCCTGGCTAATTTTTTTATTTTTAGTAGAGACAGGGTTTCACCATGTTGGCCAGGCTGGTCTTGAACTCCCAACCTCAAATGATCTGCCCACCTTAGCCTCCCAAAGTGCTGGGATTACAGGCCCGTGCCCGGCCTAATCTCAGCTCCTTTCATCCTCAGCTCAGGCCACCAGGTGAGAACCAGAAAACGTCCATGGTTTAACAGAGTCTGCTTTAAAACGTCTGCTTTAACAGAGTCATTTCTTACAGTTACAGCACTGATACTGCAGAAAATCCGTTTTCACTGCATTTACTTATGTGGGACTGAGAGTGACAGTGTCAGTTTCTCGTGTGGTCAGTTTCTCATGTGAAGGTTAGGGGTGGTGTCTGTCTTTTGTCCGGATTGACTAAGATAGTATCTAATGACATTAGATGTTGAAGCCACCCAGCAAAGGACCCAGGGGTCGGCCTGGCAGAGATTAGAAGGGTTGATATCCAGTATTGGCCAATAGATACTCTTAGACACCACTGGCGGCAATGTGCATTTTCTCAGATTTCCCATCAAAAAGTACATATGTGATTCTCCCTCTAGCGTCTGTCTCCCGGAAATGCACCCACAGATGAGCAGGTTTATGCACAGAAGTCTTTGTTGCAGCTTTGAGTGCACGATTGAAATTGGAAACAACCGAAATGTGCTTTAGTCGGGAATTTGACAGACAAATTA